GTCATTCCATATTTATGGGAATTTTATCTGGGTCCTCGCATGGTACAGTAAAATCAAGGTGGAGCTATGATGCCATATGATATCAATTTTTCAAAGTATTGCGTTCGTTTTTGTGCGTTTCTGTTTACAGCTATTTTATAATAGGAAAATACTGGAGAAAATTGCAAATCTAGTGATTTCAGGTTCTGGAAAATAGCATTAATTTGTTAGAATTCCATATAATTTTTTAATTCAGAAAATTATTATTAAAATCTAGCTTTTGAACACAAATCGTGTGATAAATATAGTAACAGATATTAAAATTAAAAAGATTTTTCAAATAGATCCGAAAAATATTTTTGAGAATAACTGCATTGAAGTAGAATAATTTCTTTGAATTTCTTCGATCCACATTTTATTTTCTATTGGTCTGTTCCAGATATGTAAGAATGTAAGAATTTTCATTGCGATAACCCATGGTAGAAGAATATAGGTAGACGCATCGACACAGCTGCTGGGACAATGAAACGTCAAACCAATTTTGGAATGGAAAATGTTGAATGAAAAATTATTTAAATTTGAAAAAATTGTTGAAAAACGCGAATTACAATAACCTTTGAATGACGTCGTATAAGAAAACATATAAAAATCTACTTATATTTAAAAAAAACATTTAACATTGTTTGACATACAAGCGTTCACAAGCGTTGATGCATCTACCTGTATTCTTCTACCATGAAATAACCGATTTCGAAAAAAGTTGCAGTTCTGAATATTTATAAATATAAAATAAATAAACATTTGTACAAATTTAAGTGAGGGGTAAAAAATGTATCATTATCTCTGTTCCAGATCCTGCAAGAATCTACTATTTTTGCAATTTTTCTCAATATCAAAAAGGAAAAATTGATTATCACACTAAAAATGTTTACATTCTTGCAATTCTGGAACAGGCCAAACGTTTAACATTTGAAATTTCCAAAAGGGATAGGTAGTTTGGTTTACATATATCGAATACGAAAAATCGATTAATTTAATCGAACTATGTGTCCCTGGTTTTTCTAACTAAAAGCCGATCAACCGATTAGTCAAGAGTCGACTTACGTATTCCTAGTATCTAAAATTTTTTAACAAAAATTCAGAAAGAAAAGCGGAAAATACCGAAATAAAACTCTTTAATTGAATATAGATTGAATGTACTGAGTGGAAAGATTACTACGAATGCATTGTTATCGAATAGCTACTCTTGATGATACAGCAGTAGTGTCCTTGTGCCTTAATCAGCCGACTTTATTCTCTGTCTCTGTTGGACAAGTAATTTTTTGTCTGGTAGAGAAGTAGTCATATAAATAATGTTGACACATAATAAAAGTTGTGGAGGACGCAAAAAAATGCAGGTTAATTGCCGGTTGCGATGCGGATCTAAGGATTCTAGTTACATGGTGTATTTTTGGGCTTTTCTAGGTCTCCTATGTTATACGAGATGCTGAGGAGAAACAACATCGGAATGGTGTCAATGCCATGCAATTAGATCCAAACAATGGTAAATTATATTCAGCCGGGCGTGATGCTATAATACGGGTATGGAACTCCCGTTCCGAATCAAATGATAAATATATACAGTCCATGGAACATCATAATGATTGGGTTAATGACATTGTGCTCTGCTGCAATGGTCGTAATTGTAAGTATGTTATAGGGTGGAGTGAAATATTTTACTGACTGTCCTAGAATGAGACGAAATAATGCATCCGTGAATGTTTTTATAGTAATTAGTGCTAGCTGTGATACAACGGTGAAAGTGTGGAATGCTCATAAAGGATTTTGCATGTCTACCCTAAGAACCCACCGTGATTATGTCCAGGCTTTGGCCTATGCAAAAGATCGTGAACAAGTTGCCAGTGCTGGCTTGGATAAGGCGATCTTTTTGTGGGATGTCAATACATTAACAGCTTTAACTGCCAGCAATAATACAGTCACAAGTAAGTATTCACAATATCATTATAAATTTTCTTTTATTTAACATTTAATATTTTATTTCTTCACAGCATCTAGTCTAAACGGCTGCAAGGACTCTATATATAGCTTAGCTATGAATCCAGCTGGCACTGTCATAGTAAGCGGCTCCACAGAGAACATATTAAGAGTATGGGATCCACGCACATGTGTACGAAATATGAAACTGCGTGGTCACACAGAAAATGTAAGGGCCCTGGTTGTTTCCGCCGATGGCAATCAAGTTGTGTCGGGTAGTTCAGATGGCACCATAAAAATCTGGAATTTGGGTCAACAACGCTGTGTTCAAACTATCCACGTCCACAAAGAGGGTGTTTGGAGTTTATTAATGACAGATAACTTCCAATATATTATATCGGGCAGTCGAGATCGTAATATTGTCATAACTGAGTTAAGAAATCCCAGCAATTCAATGGTGGTTTGTGAAGAAAAGGCCCCGGTTTTAAGTCTATGCTTTAACACTGATAAGACGGGGGTATGGTCCACCACATGGAACTCAGATATACGTTGCTGGAAACTGCCATTGTACGATAAGTGTACATTAAATTCAAGTGGTGGCATGGATGCTCAATGGACAACAGGAACCGAATTGGCATGTATTAAAGGTAAGTACTGCGATTCTTAAAATAATTTAAAATAGCAATTGATATTATGATTTTAGGTGGTGCTGCCATTAAAAAATGTGTTGTTTTAAATGATAAACGTCACATTGTAACCCGGGATACGGAAGACAATGTAGCCATATATGATGCATTACGTGTAGTTAAGAAAGAGGAGCTAGGAAAAGTTGATTTCGAAGAGGAAATCAAGAAGCGCAATAAACAAGTATACATTCCCAATTGGTTTACTGTTGATTTAAAAACGGGGGTATGTCCAAAAATTTCGCATATTGTTTAAAAATAATTACTGATTTGTATGCCTTTTATAGATGCCTACTATTGTTTTGGGCCAAGACGAGGTGGATTGTTTTGCCGCCTGGGTATCAATAGAAGCTGGTCTTCCTGAATGTTCAGATCCACAGTCAGAAATTAAGGTAATGAATGAATTAAAATAACGTTTTAATGGTATAAAATGATGTATACTAGCTAACCCAGCTCAGAGAAGGATATGTGGATTTGATCGATGATTTGGTATACCCTTTAGATGGAGTATGGCCAGTGTTGAATCATATATCCTTCGATGTGCCTTACGGAAAGAATTTTATTAATTTAATGTCCGTCCATTTCGAGATGGTGATACGATCTGGTTTCCAATCAAGTGACTATCTAAACATAAACTACTAAAACAAATGTTTAAGAACCTTTGTTAAAACAAGAGGATTACGCTAAAATAATACTATTTATTTTCAGATAAATTATGGTAAATTGCTATTAGAAGCTTTGCTTGAATATTGGACACCACCCCATAGCTTACCACCCAATGATATGGAACAAGATATAAGAGGCAATGGATTTTTCCAAGTACCAAAACATACACCGGTTATATTCAGGTATTTTTTTTAGCAAGGCCTCCCTTTGGACCTTTTATAAAATGTCAAATTGTATTATAGCGAGGTTGGGGGACGAACTGTATGCCGTTTACTTGTTCGCGATGCCGCAGGAGAAAGTGAAAGCACATTACTCCATGAGACAGTACCACAATGGGTCACGGATGTTGTCATAGAAAAAACCACTCCGAAATTTTTAAAAATTCCATTCTTCCTAACTCCCCATCCGTCAATGGGCAAGCCGGAAAGAACGAAGAAGGTACTATTTTCAAAGCAAGAGCAATGGATTTGTATAATAAAAATTTATAATTTTAGGATCGTTTGGTGGCCAATGAATTTATACAGTGTCGTAAAGTGTGTGAGCATGTCCTGGATAAAGTTTTGGGAGCCGAAACCACACCTAGCGGCGGCAATGCATCCAGTTCTTCACAAAACAGCGATGCCATTTCGGAAGGTTCTCAGGTTCCAGCTGAAGACCGCATTGAGTTATGGTGCAACGATGTCGTATGTTTGTTATTCTGCATTCCTTTTCCAAATATAATTTCATTATTTAATGGTTTCAGGTGGTTGATCCAAACATGGACTTGCGTACTGTTCGACACTTTATTTGGAAGCAACAACAAACCGATCTCACATTCCAGTACAAAACTAAGCCAAATTTTTCATATGATGGAAAACTTTGAATAAACAATGGTAGGAGCAACAGTTTATGTGATTCTCTAAATTTCAGCTGATGATAAGGCACAAGACAAATTATAAGGGACACGTGTTTGTATGTGCGTGTCATTGTCATTCACATACTTACATCCAACCCAAGCACGTGACTACAAGTGTATGGAATCTGTGGAGACAACAAACACAAGGTCATGCCAAAATTCTTAATATGATCACAAAAAAAATGTTTTATTTAGTTTGTTGTTTTCTTGTTACTCCGAAAGCATTTTAGAAAGCTTAAGGAAGTGCAATTTTTGTAAAAAAGCAAAGATTTAAATATAAAAACAAAAATTGGCAATCCGTTCCCAAAGAAATGTCTTAACCATACCACACCACATAACGTTTGCCATTCCAATTATTTCTCCCACTTAGTGTGTAGCGAAAAAGAAAAAACAAATACTCATTCCATTTCTTCCTCAACAAGTCTTAAACTTTCTACTTTTCTATGAAAAAATCTTTGTACAGATCGTGTTATTCTGCGGCGAATGGGATTGTCTTTTGTTCTTTTTCTCACATTGTAACAACTTTTCGACATTTATATATTTTAAAAATAATTATTACATAGATTCATACATATATGCTTAAGATCTTAACATTAACGTAAATTATTTAAAAGCGACAGACTAAGTAAAACATATTTCACAAATATTAAAAAAATATGGAAAGAATTGAAAGGAAGAAAGTGTTGTTATCCAATTTGTAGCTATAATAAAAATTAAACACACATATTCAAATATGATAATGCTAAAAATAATGATGATGCCCAATAAAAGCAGGCAATTGACTTATAATAAAGAAAATACAATTTTTTAAAGAATATTGTAAAAAGGTTTTTTTAATTCAAAATCACATTCAAATTTTAAATTGAGTGCACCGAAGTTATCTCGATTGCAATGGGATATTGTTGGTTCATATGGCATCTAGTGTTTGATCAATTAGTTTTTTATTACCACCAGAAGTTTTCCCAATGTCGTTCAGTGCATATGCCTAATGGGCTTAATGGTGGCTACGAGCCCATATTGCTAACTATTTCTTCGTCTGCCCATGCCAATAGACCTGTGTTTCTCAATTAATGATAATACCGATTTAACATCATTATACAAAGTTCGAGGTAAATTCAAACTTAATAAAAATTCGTCGTTTTTACCATAAATTAGTTCAGAAAAACGCCATAGACATCTTGTACGCAGGCTTTGTGTAACAGGTGGATGTATTGCTATTAGCTTTCGGCATGGTAGCCATTGTCCTGCATTCTTTACGCGATACAATTGTGGCCAAAATATATCCTGATGCTTCACATGCATGCGTTCACCAGTCCGGGCGTCACGAAATAGCCATGGATGTGTTACAAAAGTATTTGCTTTTATACCAGCCCCTGGCGGCAAGGTGGTAAATAAGTCTTGGGAACCATTGAAATCCATCCAGTATAGATTAACCTGGAAAAAATATACTTCAATTTCGAACATATCGCAGTGCTAAAAATTGAAGAAGTATTTTAAGCTATCCAAAAATCGAAATGGCTCTATTTTGGTAAACTTAAAATAAAAAAATTGTTTTTAGTAGATTTATTCGAATCACGATCAGTCATTCATGTGTTGTTCATCTCGATTTTTAATATTGAAGAAATATCAAGGTCAACTTTAAAATTGTGACACATTTATCCTTTATCATTAGTGTAGGGATTTTCTAGCTAGTTATATTAGGAGAACAAGAAATGTCTAGCTCATATGGATGAGTTGTTGTCAGGAAATCCAAATATAGGACTTTTTATCCTAATTTCAAAATACAAAGTACACGCCACATAGATTGAAAGGATTCCATGTCAGCTGTTCTCCAGATGTACTTGTTGAGGGCTTTTACCTGTCGTTGCGTAGTATTAAGGAAAAATACATGTGTCTGTTCGTTTGAATGTTGAGCCGCCAATCTAGGTGGCGGCTGGGCTGGCGATTCCAGTGCCATTTATATTTACATTAAAGTTAAAAAATAAATACTACTTTTGAGTTGCGTTGCTCTGGAACGAATTTGTTCAGATGGACTATTCATCTAAAGGAACTATCGGCACTATATCTATATAGACTGTTCGTTCATTTAGTTCCTTAAGTTGCTTTAAAATGGTCTTTTTTGTCTTTTCTGACATTATTAAAATAAAAACTTAAACAGAATTTTTGTGGTTTTATTCCCCTCAATTTTTTTCTACAAACAAGTTAACTTGCCAAATCTTGGTAATATAAAAGTAACATGGACAAAAACGCGTATAAACCATTCCAATTATTTTAAATTTACTATAATTAGTGCTGATTTATACTAGGCGAGATTATCGTTCTCAGTTGAACTTGCCTCTTTCACTTTTACAACGCAATTATATTCAGCAATTTTCCGTTTTAATTTTCATTGCCTTTTCTGTAACTTTTATTAATATTTGTTGTGTTCCAGAACTGCAAAAAATGCAAAGCTAAGAGCTTCTTGCAGGGTCCGAAACAAAGCAATTTTTGTGTAAAAATAAAAAAAAAACAAAAAATTCCAGTTAAATTTTGCAATTTTTTTTAAGTTTTACATTCTTGTAATTCTAGAGCAGACTAGTAACATAGACAAATCGCCGTAGCATATACAAAGCACCGTTTATCTCAAAAAAAAAAAAAAATAAATAAAAAAATAGAATCAGCAAATGTCGTCTATATCGTTTTAGGGGTTTGAGTGAGAATATTGAAGTCACTCAATAATTCTATAACTTTAAAAATAACAAAAACTGTAGGATATTTGTCAGTTGAAAATTGTTCTATAATAAAAAAATGTAAAAAGTACATGATGACATCGAAAATTAGGGAATAATCAAGTGAAATTCTAGAAAAACGGCTTCGAGTGGATTGTACGCGTAAATCAGCATATTGACTATGCAAATCATGATGAGGCACCTGAATAAAAAAAAAAAAAAAAAAATAACTTTTCGTTGTCTATATCTTCATTTGTCTATGCTAGTAGTTTCTGATTGGCTTTTATCTGGATTTTAAAGGATTGTCATCTAATTTTGAGATTTTTATTAGTTTTTCAGTTCCGTACATTCTGAGCAAAGCAATTCTCTTTTTCATTCGTTTTATCCATGGTCCAATATATACGTAAAAATGGTTTGTAAAACTACTTTACAGCCCTTTGTCTATGCCCGCTTAGTGTCATTTCCAAATTAAGATGCAAAAATTTAATCTCATTTGTTTGAATTTTATATAGACCGAAAGGTGATCGAAATTTCTGGATTTGTCCAAAACGACAGAATGTTACCGCTCCAACACCGATTGCCACTAGCTAAGTGAGTAAAATAAATAGACTAAAAACTTGCTATGTTACCATGGTACAACAAGAGAAGGTAAAACTGTTATCAAAACTATTTATTTCGCTACAAAGTCTAATTTTTGTCCATACATATGTTGTAATGGTTGAATATTAACTCATAATCTTAATTCCATCATAGAGCAAATTTGCTCTTAACCTATAGCAATCGAATTCCGTTTATGGTTATAACTTCGTATAATCATGTTTTCGGCGATCCCCACTCTATTCTCTTGGACAATTTTTTTTACTATATGGATTTATTTATTTTACTACTTTGTGTACTGAAATTAATTGAACAATCTTTACTTGATCGGATTGAATTTGACTATGTAGGTGTTCTACTACATTTGAACGTATATTTAGACTTAGCAAGATAAATAACTATTTTACAACATTATATAAAATATCATTATAATTTTAGCTAAATATGCTGTGACTCAGCTTCAATTATACGATCTATATCATCCACAGCATATACTTTACGACAGACTTTCTTGGCATTGGCTGATGTGGGTTTTATAGAAGAACCATTTGTTGTATTATACATATCCGTGGAACTCACAGAAATGTTTTCATTAATACTAAATTTATTTTGTGATTTATCAAAAAGATTATGGTAATATTCTGGAGATATGGATTCTAAGAATAATATACGATCTTCCATATTTTTCAAACGCTGGTGAATAGTTTTCTGTTCCGCATTGTTTAGATTTAAATATTCTTCAATGTCTCGTGTTCTCTCCAGCAGAGCGTATTGGAATGGCTTTGTTGACAACGTATTTGTTGGTGATTCCTTCTTTTCTTGTTTGATTTTCTGATTTTGCTTCGAATCCATTAAAGAATCTAATGTTTCTAAATAATCCTGTCGTACTTGTGGTCCCATTTTATTTTCTATTTGGCGAACTTTTAAATGACATTTGGAGTTTTCCTGTTTTATTACAGTACCGCTAATGCGAGCACATGACGATGTTTCTTCGTTGGGATTTTCAGCTGTATAATTGGGATTTATATAATCAACAATGTTATTGATATCAATTTCTTCACGTTTGCGTTCAATAAAGCTTTGTATTCGCCTATTGATTTCCGTTTCACTTGCGGAAATTTGCACAAATTTCGAAGGCAAAACATGTTCTTGTATGTCACACAACTTTTCATCGAATGTTTCTGCTTCGATAGATTCAACACACATTGTAAATTCGTCTCCTTCATATTTTTCTTTTCTCCATATTGGTACACGTCTCTTCAGTTCATCGATTACGACGGCTATAGCGTCTAGAGATGATTTTGTATGCGTTGACGAAATTGCTATAACAACATTAGCCTCACCTATTGGCACCAGACCAATACGATGATATATTACTATGTTGCATATATCGGACCAACGAAATCGTAATTCTCCACATATATTTTCCATTTCCCTTTCGGCCATAGATTCACATGCTCCAAATTCCAAAGATAGTAATTTTTTGCCACCTAATGAACTGCGCGTGGTACCAACAAATAACGAGGTAGTTCCACAGGCATCAGAAGAAGCCAAGTCTGTAATGGAACCTATATCCAAGGATTCCCGGGTAAGTAAGAGGTAATTCATATTTATCAAGAATACCAATGACACCTTAAGGAAATTGATCGCTATGAATATGTCACCAATTTAAACGTTGAAGTAAAGACAATCTTACGTGTTCTGCAAACAGTTATTTCTCTTAAATATGGAAGAAAAAAATTATCTAAAATGAAGGAATTCGCAGGTAGCTGATCTAAAATGAAGGAATTTGGAGACCCACGCATTGGAGGTTATGTTGACGGTCGGGTTTGTTTTATTGTTTTTTTTTTTTAAATCACGCACAATCTCAAATCACACGTATACACATTTGTTCTATTTGTTTCTAGATATTTATATATACATTTTTATACGAAATACGATAAATAATTAAATAATTAATTAATTAATTAACAATTTACAAACCGACGCCACCAAGAGAGTGAATGAACTAAAGAACAAAGGATACTTGGCAGCACTGAAAAGAAAGACAGCACTGAAAGAAAATCTCAATAAAGATGGGAATCAAAAGGGAAAGGCCGACAACACAAGTGGAATCAAAACAAAACGGCCGACAACACAAGTGGAATCAAAACAAAACGGCCGACAACATAAGTGGTTTGAAACACCGCTTTATTCACTAAAATGTAGTATGTGAACTAGTCTTCTTAACCTGGCCTGATTCTTGGCCCATTGTTTTTGAATCCTGTATTCAGTAAGATGAAATAAATTTAATATTATTCATACAGATTCAATTAAAACATCGTTTTCTTTTATAATTATATAAATTTGAAGAAATTCTATGCATTTTTTAGGTGTTCCCACTGTGCTGTGAGATCAGCTGTTACACTATTCACTAAAAATGATAGCATTTAAAAATACAGATGCCTGACTTCAAGGTAGATGTACTAGGTAATCGCATCAGCCCAGCTGACGGCACCATTAAATGTCAAAACGAATTGTTGTAATGAAGAATTCGCCCTAAATGAATGAAACAACAAATTTGTTTATGTTGTCTTCCCTAAAAGTACCTTTTTATAATATTTCAAATAATTTAAGAGTAAGTTAAGAGTGAAACCAGTAAAAAATTAAAAGAACATGAAGGAAGGAGGTTAGAATGGAGTGCAGCTTTAAGAATTAAGTTAGCCTCAACATCTAAGATTCCCAAAGCACATCACGGGAAGTAGTGCAAGAATTAGACTCTTGTCATTTGCAGTTCCGGAAAACTTTCGGTTTAAACCAGTAAAATATAGTCATTATAAGTTTCTTTGTTTAAAAAATATCGCAATACTACAATTAATACTTATTTTAGTCTTATTTGTTTTACAATAAAAACTTTTATTGCGACGTTCGTTTACGACGAGAGGGACACAAAATAAAATGTAAACAAACACCTCGTTTCTGATTGGTTGAAACAAATTTGCCGCAACTTTTAAATGTCATGGCGAATCTATGTTTTTCGCCTTAGATGCCAATTTTGACATTTGAGGGGACCACAAAAGTTGCTTTGTTGTAGCAATTCGCCGATGCGGTTACCTTTTTTACATTTTTCATTAAAATTCATGAGTCCCGTTTTTTTAAATAATAGAATAACATATTTATCCAACTAACTCATCGCCTGCTTGTAGATTTTTTTATTAATCTGAATGAATTCTGAAAAATTTGAGTTCCCATTTATTTCAGTATAATTGTTCTATTATAAAATAGTTTAAGTTTCATTTTGTTGGTAAGAGAAGTGAGAAAAATGGAGATCCCATACTTCTTAACAAAATCCCTTACTTAAAACTGAAAGACTATCTACCTTTTGGAAACGAAAATTGTTAATTGCTCTGTTCCAGAATTGTACGCACTTGCTAATTTATAAGACCTGGAAGAATCTAAGCGATAACCGCTATCTAACGAGATTGCAAAAATAAAATTGATTCTTGCAGGTTCTGGAATAAAAAAATTATGAGCACTTCACATAAAACTTGCATGCACTTGTTCTGTTCCCGAACCTGCAAGAATCTTCCAGTTTTGCAAATGTTCTCTTTTTCATTTGTATGATCTGTTCTTAGAGCTTCGGGATCTACTAATCAACCGATTTCACATTCATATGAATCCATTCAGTTATCAATTCCTTTCCACGATTGACTGAAAGTTGTTCATGGACAATGAAAGTTGTTCAAAAATGTCATATTTTAAGAATACCAAAACAAAACAATAGAAATATGTATTTTTAACAAGCTTGTTTTATTCATCTATTATGTAGATATTTACAAACATAAGCAACAACACATACATTCATCACGAATAAGGTAACTATTTTGACGAATAACAGAAAATTGGGAAACAGAGGAAAAATAATAATAATATAATTTGGAATGATTTGAAACAAAATTTCTATGACAATAAATTTAGATCAAAGAAGCGATCGTTCGTTTGAATGTATTATTATTATTATCAGAGGAAACACACATTGTTGAATTTCACATAATACAATTTTATAAGTACCGCGAAATTGTTGTTAATACATTTCTTTACTTATAGTTTAATAACACTCTAATCTGTTTATATATTAATAGGGAATTTAAATAAGACGTGATAATACTTAAGCCTTGCCGCTAATGGCAGCCGATCCTTGCTTCTGGGTTTCATTTTCTTTTTCAAGTTGTTTGCCCAAATATTCCCTGGAAAAGGAAATTAACATAAAAGTTAATTTTACATGTTGTGAAAATAATTAGATATTCACTTCTTACCAATTGTGAACCATTAATTTTTGTACAGCCAACAAGGCTTCATAACGTACATTGGGATCTTCATGACCCAACAATTGCATGACAATTTGTTTGCCACCCAATTGTTCCAAAACGCTAGAAGGCGAACAGCAAAATTGTTTTATATAATTTCTATTAAATTTATATTTTCCCATAACTTACTGCTTTCCTCTGGGGTAATGGCGAACATATTCTCCAATATCATAGCAGGCAACAGACAAAATAATGGGATCCTTGGAGGTTTCCAAAAGATGTACCAAAATGCGCAACAATTCGTAATTCTTTTCATTCAAACGTTGAGCATTTTCACGCCAGAATTTGGCAGATTTGTGTACGGGAGACCATTCCAAACGGGCACTGCGCAATTCGGTGGCGTATTCGTCGAACGAAGACAAATCTTGCACAGAGTTTTGCAATTTTTCTGTCAAGAATTCGACATCGGCAGAGATGTCCTCATCGTCGAAACGACGTTGTTCCAAAATGGACAATTGTTTCAAGACTTTGCATTGAACCATGGCAATGCAATGTTCCTTGGCCACTTGAGCATCAGTGGGCTTTTCAATTAAGTTACGGAATACGCCCAGAATGATGCGGGTAACCTTTTGACAAGAAATGTCGATAAAAAATTGTACACGATTTACAATTGGTGTTTCAAAGTTTTACCTTTTCCTTGGCGCAATCATTGAGAATATCAGCCAAAATTGGGATGACAGTGAATTTGTTCATTTTGGTGGCCAGCAAGGGATTGAAGGTCAAGACCCACAAACAGAACACCAGTTGGTATTGTACCTATAATAGGGATAAATACTAGTGATATACGAAATTTATACCAATGCTGCTTACTTACTTGGAAATTAACACGAGATGACAAAATGCGTACCAAAGTACTGATACCATCAACACCAACAAAAGCGAAAAGGTATTCGTCAATACGCAACATCATTTGCAGACAGCGTGCCACAGATTGAATATACTCATTGGACTATTATTGGAGAATAAATAGAAAGTATATTAGAAATTGCATTCAATATTGAAATTTGTTAGTTGGTGTTATTTGTTTTTGCAAAATAGAACGCAAAACTTGTATGGCAACGGGCCAAAGGACCAAATTGCCATTGTAGTAATTTAAACAATTCCCAAAAATGACTGCAATTTTGATTTCTATTTCAAAATGTAAAAGATGGGTCCACATAAACATCAGCAACAAGAACAAAATTAACGAAAACAAAACAATGCGACATTCATATAATGAAACTGGATATTTCGCAGGATGATTTGAACAGACAACGACGTTAACGTAGGGACATATAGTTTTTGTTTAAGGCCGGCCAAAGGCTTTTAAATTTTGAATGTATAACAGTAAAGTGTAAAAAAAGTGTTATGTTTTAAATGTTAGGCAATTAGTATGTTTAATAATGTTGTGTGTTATTGCAAGTTATTGTTTGAATTGCATAAAAGCCCACTACCGTTTTGCCCGCCTCTGCAGCTTGTTCACGATATTTCAAAAATTGAACCAGATCAAGATGATTTGAGCTTCCCTTATCATTTCCATTAGAATGTATAATTATGGTTTGTATTCTTTTGGACAGGGCAGTCATCTCACTGATATAGATTTTGCACTTATGTTTCATTTTTAATAAAGGTTAAGTTGATGGTTGTGGGACATATTGCAGGATAGGGAATAAAAAGAAAAAATTATAAGTTTATATTCAACTTATGCTGATGGTATATCCAATTTCAAGAATTTTTTAGAAGTATTATCCATTCTAAGGGGCGCGGAAAAAACTGTGCAATATTGAATTTCGGGAGCCATTTCATACAAGAATGGAGCAAAACAAGTCTAATCTAAATCGAAACATTAATAGTTTTTCGTCAAACTAAGCGAATATTTGTCAAGTTTTTCGAAATATCTTTCGTGAATGTGATAAAATGCCCTTATACAGTATTTGTGTAAACAATAGGTATTCTTTTATCTCTAATCGATTTTCAACCTCTTTAAATAGCACAATTAGTTAAAACAAAATATTTTTGAACACAACAACAATGTGTACGCAAAAAGGTCACAACTAATCATGTGTCAAAATATAAGGCATTGCTGTCACAAAAACTCCCATAACATCTTTCTAAAGTAATAACACCATCATATACAAGAATAACGAAAAAAATTGCTCACCTGGACTGTCAATTGATCTTTAAGGAATTGCAAATAGAAGTTCAAATCAGACTTGGGCATCATTTCGTGTCCCCAGCATGCCAATTTAGCCAAAATACGAGAAGACATATTAACAATGAAACCATCTTGACGATTCAACAGATTCAAGAAAGGTCCCCAAACGCATTCTTTGCGCTTAGCACAATATTCGTGGAAAATATCAACACGGGAACGATCTTCTTGCAATAGATCGTCAATCATAACCATAATATATTGAATGGTTGAATCTTTGGAGACATGAGACAAAAGATTCAACAAAGTCTTTACAGCTTGGGCTGGATTCGATTGCAAGTAGGCAGCCTTTGAGTTATCCAGAGCACTAATGCATTGGTAATCTTCTTGGGAAATCATCTGCGATTGCATGTAGGATGCCCAGTTGATGGTTTTGGTACGGATATCGGCTGCCTGTTGCTGCAACACAGATGTTGCAGCAATCATATCTGAAAGCGAGAACAAAGACGTAATTCACTATCATATACACCATGGCAATAATGATGTATATACTTTTTCACATTTCGTAAAAAATAAATGTCATCATTATCGACTTTTCTTGAAACCGTATAATTTTCAACTTACCAATGCTCTCTTCGGGCATTTTCATTAAATCGGCAACGTCAGACATGGCTACTGCTTTCTTTGTTGTTATTTTTTCCTAAAAAATTCAATAAATTTTTACCAATTCCGTTGGAAAATAGCAGTAGACAAAAATTTTACTCTGAATTCAGCTGACAGAAGGTCTTGTGACTTGTGATGTAAAAGTAATGAGTATTTCGGGTACAGGTTAACCAATACCAATTACTTTTAACTGTCACTTTAACAGGCACTAATATTAGTGAAACAAGTAACGTATAGAATGTTGTAAAATGTCAGTTGGACCTACGGCTAAGCATGCAAGGAAATAGATTTTTCGATACCATGGCCCAATTATAAAGGTGAGAATATAAAAAACGGTTAAGTCATCGGCTGGCTTCTTCGTAGAGGAACAAAGAAGTTTTAGGTTGGCTTAGTTCGATTTTGGCTCTACGCTACTTTGTTCTTTCCCGAAGAAGCCAGCCGATGGCATAAGGTAGGAATTCATAAAGAGCTTATTTGGCTGGCTTAAGTCATCGGCTGGCTTCTTCAGAAATGAACAAAGGAGTAAATTGACACAAAAAAGATTATGCTTCAATGTATTAACAAAGATGAAAACATAGTAAAATTAAGAAGATTAAGTAATTTCAAATAAGCATACCAATCTCTGCAATTTCTGTAATTTACCTTGTCAAATTTCATTGCATAAACAATAGGTTGCCATTTGTGTATTTGCAATGGATTAAATGAATAATTTTGAAAAAATTGCAAACATATGATTAATTCTACCATGGATGAAACATTTAAGAAAATTATAGGATTATATTTCACAAATATATGAGAATTTTTTCGCAAGCCTCTTAAATGTTGACACTTGTATCACGTAAAAAAATTGTATGTGGTTGTTGCTAAAGGTAAGGTCACATTGAGCAAATATTTGACGAAAAATGTCAAATATTTCTTTGCCACAATCTGACCACCAAATATTATTTGACGGTAAATACAAAAACAGCTGATTTTGGGAAAACAAAATTATTTGCCAGAAAACAAAAATTTGACCAGTGTGTCCATAATGTGAACACCTATGATCAATTATTTTCCTCTTTTTTGGTCAAACATTTGTTTGACGGTGCAAATGTTTTGTAAGGTCAAACAAGGAAAAATATCAGTTTAAAACATTGGGCAGCATTTTGCTTTAAGAACAAGAGCATTTGTAACATGATGTTTAATGAATAAAAAAGCAAACGAATACAATAGGTGGTTTTGTTTATTTGATATTTTTGAATTAACTGAATTTGAATGTTTAGTAAAAATTTAATATATGGTCTGTTCCAGAACTGCAAGATGTATAAGTTTTTACTACTATTACCGATTTTCCCTTTATTATATCGAAGAAAATTGACAAACTAGTAGATTCTTGCAGGTTCAGGAATAGGATATAGGTAGATGCATCAACGCTTGAAACATTGATATGTCAAACATTTTGAAATGTTTTGACAAAAATAAGAAGATTTTTCTATGTTTTCTTTTACGTAATGATATGTATTTTTCAACAATTTTTACAAATTTAAATAATATTTCATTCATTATAGTTTTGTCAGTTCATTGTCCCAGCAGCTATGTCGATGCGACTACCAGTATTCTTCTACCGTGATACAAACATACAAAAATGCAAAAAAAATTTTCTGACAAGGAATTTATACCACAACAGCTGGTCATTTGCTTCCCTTCTCCAAATAAATTATACCCGAAACTCCATTTTCTTTATGTCTCTCTTTCACTCTCTATGTCTATTTCTCTCGGCAAAATAAATGTATGTTTCCTCACAGTTTGATCAAACAATTTATTGGGAAAATATATTCGTATATTTTACGAATGTGAACATGTGTCAAACATGTTTCCCCATAGCACTATTTGACGCTATTTGGTGACTGTTTGAACAAACAAAATCTGTGAAATATTTGACTGTAATGTGAACATCGAATCAACTCTGTATGAATTTCACATTTGTTCAGTCAAATATGGGAAAACAAATTTCGATCAAATATTTACCCAGTGTGACCGTACCTTAAGTTTGTTGTACAACAACACTTGTTGTTGCCCATGGCACAATTACAGAAAAACATTTTTTTCTTTTGGTGCCCTTTTTCTGCAAAATAAATGCATATATTCGACGTTTATGGGCAAAACATTACACAATTTTGGGGTAAAACTGTGTTGTCCCACTATTCTAGATTGTGAAAGAAACCGAAAAAAACATTCTTATTTCGCGTGTTATCTCCAATATAATACTCACAGATTTTCAGATTTCTCGCAACGGAATTGACAGATGATATCCACTAGATGTAAACACTATTTAAGTCCTCATGATCAACAGTGTGTACCACCTAGATTTTTTACTTGCTTCCATGGTATAATAAAAAGGTAGGGTAGGAAAAATATGAAAAAAATGAAAAGATCTTGTTGCATATAATTTTGAATAAGTCTGACAGGAAGCGAGCATAGCCTCTGGGTTGTATTCCTGTAGTTTTACAAAGCTGTTTTACCTCCTTATTGTACCATGCTTGCTTCTACGCATGGAACCATAAAAAGGTATGGTAGAGCTATCAGCTGATTACAATTTTTTCTAAGTGTGCTCGACTTATGCCAATTTTGAGTATGTATTTATTGTTTTGAAAAATAAAAACAAAATATTTCTAAGACAAAAGCAATGACATTTGGTTCACCTTGCCGACTGAATAGCGGTATTAATATACAGGTTAATGGTGTAGCAGTGGATTTTGTTGACCGCATAAATTGTTTAGGTGTTGTTCTTGATGCCAAGCTTCATTTTTCTTTGCATATTGATGCACTGTACCCCAAAGTTAAAAATATGCTCCGAAAATTACACTCAACTGATTTCTATTTGCCCCATGGTACAATGATATCAAGGTAGGGCAGAACTACCATATGATTTTAATTTTTTTTTATTTTCTTGGTTTAATATGTCATCTTTATTTGTTTATGTATGTGTTTTCTTTTCAATAACAAAAAAATTGTTCAGAAAACATTAAAATTCGGGTGTTTTCAAAATGTTTATTTCAACGTATGCATCGACAAAATCTAGAGTTTTTGTAGCGAAATAATCCTTTAGAGATATATAGTACATGATTTTGAAAAGAAGTGTTGACCTTTCATTCAATTATCGCGGTTTTCAATTATTTATTCAAAATCAATGCAACAAGTTGTTTGATTTTTTTATTGTTTTGATACTAATTCTGACATTACAAGCCAAACAGGTAGACCTCCATACTTGCAATTTTTTCAAAGTTGACCTACCTTCTCTTCATTGTACCATGATTTGCCCTTATTTGTAAAGAGAAATTTTGCTCATTCTATGTTATTTTCGGTAATTTCCTACTGTATTGAAGTGATTTCTGGTACAACACATGAGTACTTAATGAAATTAGAAAAACTTTTTAGCATCATTGTAAGATATGTTTATAATTTGCGTCGTTTTGACCATATTTCTGTGCATGCAGTCCCCTTTCTAGGAGTGTCATTCTCTACTTTTGTTAAACATCGCGTGGTTTCATTTCTATATAAATATATCTGTTTAAATCTTACAAGTTTTCAGCGAGATCGGCTAGTGTTCTCTCGGTCTACTAGGAATACGCAAATAATTTTCCCTCATTTTCCTACGTCTCTATATGAAAGATCTTTTATAGTTCGTTCCGCACGAATCTGGAATCAGCTTCCAGCTGAGCTACGACAATTCTCGTTTTCCCGCGGTGTTTTTCGCCGCATGTTTGAAAACTTTGTAGAGGCAAATGGAGGTTAACAATTTGTTTGTTAATGATATATGACGATACTGTATCGTTTGATTCAATGTTGTTTTTTTTATTACCAGCAATAGACTTAAATACATTTTCATTGGCTGGGGAGCCTTTTTGTCCATATTTTACATAAGTATGATTTCTAAGGTTACTTTAAGATACACTATGTAATATTTTTTTTTATTTTGGAGTACACTTTTGTAGTTTTTTAATAGTTGTGATACTTATTGGCCTAATGGCTTTTTCATCGCAACATATAAATAAATAAATGAAATATTTTCAAAATCAATGAATGGAAGAAGCTTAAATTGCCGGGGGCACACTAATGATATTAACCAGATTTGCCACGAAATTGAAAGACTGAAAACTTAGCATCATATTTTTGAGAGAATATCCAGGCATTTAATTCATCTTTCGAACTATTTGACTCATTTTAAAAACGAACAAAAAATATCGAATAAATGAAAACAACTTGTTGGATATAATTTGGATTATTCTGACAGAGAGCGAGCATAGCTTCAGGGCTGTATTTATATAGTTTTACGAAACCTCCTTATTGTACCATGCTTCAACGGCAGAAAAATATAGGTAGACGCGTGGTAAAAAAATACAGGTAGATGCATCAACGCTTGAGAACATTGATATGTTAAAGAATTTTAAATGTTTTTTTTTCTAAATAAGTAGATTTTCATATGTTTTCTACTACCATGCCAATCGAAGGTTGTTATGCAGTTCTGAATCATTTTCAAATTTCAATTATTTTTCTTTCAAAATTGGTTTTACAGTTCATTATCCCACAATGGTGACGGCACAATGAACTGTCAAAGTAATTTTGTAATTGAAAAATTATTCAAATTTGTAAAAATTATTGAAAACGCATATTATAATAATTTTCGATTGACGTCGTATAAGAAAAGTAAGTATACTTTTATTTTAAAATGTTTGACTTATCAATGTTCCCAAGCGCTGATGCATCTACCTGTATTCTTCTACCATGCTAGCTTCAATAAACACATGTTTTTTGTTTTCATTTTGGAAACAACAAATAAGATAAATTGCGTTGCTTTAGATTTGTTAGATTTGCTTACAGGCGGCACATTGAATTATTTCAATCCATATATCTAAAAACACAGGTTCAAAATAGTAACTGTGCTTAGCTCAGGAAATGTTTTTTGTGCCACATCTGAAGAATAAGAGAGGTGTTGTCTTCGATGTACTCCCGTTTCCTCCACCCTGTACTAATGAAGGACAAGAAAGATATACCGGAATTTTTACGAGCATATCTGTAGAAGTTTGCAACGCCAACGATATTAGATTCTTGTACACGAATGGATTTTATGGTAAAGGATCTCAGTCACGTAGCATTCCAAATGTGGTATATAAAAATCCATCAGAAATAGATTTGGAAGATCAGGAGACGCTGTCCTTAGGTTTAGAAGAGTCATTTTTCTTGGCCTATTATTTAAGAGTTCTGAAAATCGTCGATTTGGACAACAAAGAATTGACTTGGCAAGATTTTTTGGCATCCGCTTTGCAAGTAAATCCTTATTTTGTGGAGTATGTTGCTGCCTACTTATATTTAAAATCCAAAGGATGGGTAGTAAAGAGTGGACTGAAATTTGCCGGAAACTTTTGTAGGTTTATAATACTTGTTCATCATTTTTATGCCATAACATTTTGTTAATAATTAACTTTTAACAATTTTCAGTGATATATCGCAAAGGTCCCCGGTTTTTTCATGCAAGTTTTGTAGTTAATGTTAAAGTGCCTTCCAGCACAACTCATTTGGAACCAAAGAAAATAAAAGGTTTACAGAGAATTGCTGAAACATCCGATAAAGATGTCCTTATACTGGATATTGACAAACCTAGAGATTTTCAAATGCAAATCCTTGAAGACATAGCCAAATTGAATGTAACAGAAACTATTATAAAGCGCTTTAATTACACATCTTATGTACAAACCCAACGAAAAATATAATAAATGCTTCAATGTTTAAAAAACTAAACCTTTTCCACTCTGTGCTTTTTCGGAATACCGGTGCTGCGAAATTCCGACCTTTCTTTAAGATAAATTTGTTTGCATTCTTCTTTAAAAGCCTCATTTTTATACCACTTGCTGAGACATTCCTTTAAATGTGAGTTCTCCTTACGACAGGATACGACCATCAGTACTCCACTGTCTTTACAACATGCTTGAAAATCTGCTACTTCTTTGGTGCAATGTATTTCCTTTGCCCGATCTCTCATAATCTTGGGTATAAGAATCTCCACTTCCACCTTGCGCAGAGACTTGTCATTGGGGTCACCTGAAAAGACACATTTTTCAATAACATTTTTGGGACAAGTAAGCGTTGGCAACATACCTAATCCATGTGGATCCTTAGGATCAAACGTATTTATAGAACTAGTAGTTTCAACGTTCATATTCTTTACTTTTTTGGATTTTTATGTTATTTGTTTTATAATTATTTTTATTCTTGGCCAGGTTGTGAATTCGGTGAACGGCGTTATTTTATAACAGGGCTGCAGCTTTATTTTTTTAACGTCGTCAATATTGAAAAGTCGACTATTCCTCACGGTCTTCATGTGACCCGGTAATACATCAAATCCATGGTAGAAGAATATAGACGCATCGACGCAGCTGCTGGGCCAATGAAGTGTCAAACGAATTTTGGAATTGAAAATTTTGAATGAGAAAATATTTAAATTTGTACAAATTGTTGAAAAAGGTCTTTTATAATAACCTCCGAATGACGTCGTATAAGAAAACATATAAAAATCTACTTATATTTGAAAAGAAATTTAAATAGGTTATCGACTGGCTGGAAAGTAGTTTTTTGTTGGCTTAATTTAAGCTATGTTTACCTAATTCCGTTGTTCTTTTACAAAAAGTCAGCCGGTGACCATACATTTTATACATTCTAGATCGGCGTAAAATTCAAATTCCATTTAACTATTTCCGTGTATGACAATCGAGGCTACAATTTAATACATACAGTAGCTCCAAGCGAAACTCGTACACTTAGCAAATAATTTCTTTCATGCAATATATGATTGTTATCAAATTCATTACCAAAAAACCTACAACGCTTTGTGTTGGGGGTATTATAAGTTTGATTGTGCCAAAAATTATGTAAAACCTCGAAATATAGGTTTCCCACATAGTAACCTATATATGGATCTTCCTGTCTCGCCGAGCTGAGTCGATCTAGCTATGTATGTCCGTCCGTCCGTCTGTCCATGTTAATTTGTAATCACTCTACAGGTCGCAATTATGGCCCGATCCTCACGAAATTTAAAATGTAGGTGGGGTTAAGGCCAGAATAGAACCCTATTTCTTTTCGAGATGATCGCATATTTAGGGGTTAAAATGGACCAAAAACTGAAAAATTCCTGTTTTTGCAGTTGCTCTACAGGTCACAATTATGGACCAATTACGCGGAAATTAGCATGGGGCTAGAGCTTAGGGCTGGGGAGAAGCCTTCCAATTTTGATCGTCATCGGATAATATTTAGTGGGTGAAATAGTCCGCAACATTTGTGATAAATAAAAGTCAAATTTTCCATTAAACCGCGAATGTTTTTAATCCCGGCGAAATCACAAATAGACGAACAGGTCAATTCTGACCATTACGTAGATGCCGATAGTAAATATATCGGATATATAAAGCGAAATATATACAATGTATATATACAAAGGAAGGGGATATTAGCTAGAATGCTTATATCTCAAGAATGGCTGGACCGATTTTGAAAAATTTTGGTATAAATTGTCCCCACGTCGTGGATACACCAGCCCAGAGTTCAGACACAAACCTCATAGAGAATTTATGGAGCTATCTCGATGGAAAAAACCGCCAGCATACCATAACTTGCAAAGAAGATTAGAAGAAAGCTTTGTTGAAAGAATGGCAAAAATTGAAACTAGCTTTTGCGAAAAACTTGTAAAAAGTATGTTAAATAGGCTACAAATGGTAAAAAAAAGTAAAGGAACTCATACAAAATATTAATGTCTAGAAATACTTTGGCTTTGGCATTGAAATATGATCTCTTTTAATATTTATTTATTTTTTACTTTTAATGAATTAAAATGTTATTTTTTTTTGCATTTTAAATTACTTACAAAGTGTACTAATAAAATGTAAAAAAAAATTTGTAAATTTTGATTTTTGGAATTTATAAAAAAATAAAATTTTCTCTTTAGCTGTACGAGTTTCGCATGGAGCTACTGTACGTATGAATACTTTGGACAGATCACGTTTTAAGATAGACAATATATACACTGCCCTGATTTTGTATATTTGAAACGAATTCTTCTGATATCTATTGTCACAAATAAACTAAAAAAAATGTTGTGGGACTATTTAACTAAGTTTTTGATTACCGATAGATATTTAAAATTCTATTTTCATCCCGAACCCAAAAGGCTGTAAAAATAGGTTTGTCTGGCTACTTATCCTCTGGGAATTGCTCAGTAGCTTCTATCTGAGAAAGTGAGATATTTTTATTATCTTTTTGAACAGTAAATATGGAATTCCTGCAAAATCTTGTAAGCAATCAACTGAATCAGAAAAAAAGAAAACTATTTGGGGCTTACGTTGAGTTTAGGGGCTATGACCGATTGACCTGAAATTTGTATAGCTCCCAAGATATCGAAGTCCGTTATAAAGTTTAGAAAAACTATGGATCGCGCAGCCCGTGTTGGGGACATACCCCAGAGGAAAAAATGTTAAGCCCCGGCCGAAGCCCGGCTACTTAAAAAATCTACAAATTTTATCAGTTATAAAAAAGTGAATATGATCCGAGCATAGCCCCTAACACAACATGCTCAGCATTTTTCTTATATATCATAAATGAAAAATTGGTTATCATACTGAAAAGTTGTATATTCTTGCAGTTCTAGATCAGAGCAATTGTATACAGGTAATTTATTTGCCCCACTTAAAAAAAACAGTACAAAACATGATATTACGTTATTAAATTTTGTCATGGTGTGATAATGGTATATTAGGAAAAATATTAAAATAACTCCAAAAATGAGGAGTAATACCAGGACACCTTTTTGTGAGGACATCAACATTAATTCGAATGGATTTCGACATCAAACACACACACACTATGTCACATATAATACTGTACCGCATATGTCGCTCCAAAATCGTATTCTTTCTTCAATTGAAATAAAAACCTTTCTCGTGTTAAATATACTATAATAAAATAATTTAAAAATCTCAGTATTCAACAAGGAGAGAACTACTTAACACAAATCACACAAAATATTTAAATTTCTTCATGATTTATTTTCTTTTATACAATTTCCATATATTCTTCATAATTATCATTCGTTTTACCTGAAAAATGTCTTATTTATTTCGTATTTCTTTACAGCTTATCTAAAATAAAAGTTAAAAGTAATAACATATAAATTTCTTGGCTTTTTAAATACATATATAAACTAATGGAAAGTATTTCATACTTATAAACGTTTTCATATTACTACAATAAAAAATCGTTAATAAGTTTAAATGAAATGAGAAAATTATATAATGATGTAGAGACATCAACATGCGTATATCTAAATTTAACTAAATTATGTGAATTGACAATAAAAAGATTAATCAAGACAATGTGCGTCGTTAGCTAGAGCTAGTTAGGTTATAGGTTTTAAACCATCACCGACTATGGAGCCTTTGAAGCAACCATGGTCTTTCTGAAGTTTTGTCCCCATCGTTTGTTTTTAGAGCATTTTAGCTATTTTTTAAATTCAAATTCACATGTAAGAGGAAAAAATAACAAATGCAGCATTACAAAAAATGTCTTAATTATTCGAAAAAAGTATTAACAAAATAAGAGCATATTGTGAAGTTAATGTTCTAATCTTAAAGAATATTAACACAATATTATCTATACATAATAGTCAATAATATGAGTGTGGGTGGGGTAAATGGATGGATGAGTAGAGCGCATGAAATTAGTTCGCTTATGACATGGTGTTCAAATCGTTGCCCTTATTTTTGCTATTCATTAAAAGAACATATTGTGAACTGGGATGTGTATGTGAGGTGGTTTAGAGAAAATCTATGGTCATTAGCTTAATATTTGTTGAACTGGTAGAAAAAATTCTGAGGTGGCATATTTGTCGAATTGTTCGTTGAACTATATCATCCTTGATTTCCGCTAGGTTGTTGTTCGTTTAATTGTAATTGGGCTAAAGTTCGTACAACCACACCACGATTAACTGGTGATAAATTTTGACACAGGCCCACTACAGCATCTAATGTAACATCAGGGCAATCCTAATAATTAAAAAATTAAATTTTAGCATTAATATTTGTTTCTTTTAAGTAATAAAAACTTTGTTTACCTCAAGCATTTTGGTGATGGCAGAAATTATGGCATCTTTGCGCACTGCATTTATATTGCCCGATACAATGGAATCGGGTTTCAATTGTTCCAAATACCATTGCACCATTTCTTCGTTCTTATCCCAAATGTAAGACTGAAATTAAAGTTAAATAAATAAAGATGTCATATTGAAAAATATGTCCATGTTAACATACCTCTGTTGTTCCCTTGTCTTCGACCAACCAACGTCTCAACATTTGCTTGGCCTGACCCACACTCAAACCTTCCTGAGCATGGATAATTTTCTTTATGAAGGCATCTTCAAGCAAAAGACGTCTTAAGCGCCAGAACAGCCATGTGCGTGATTCGCGCCATGGTACAATTTCATTGATGCAACCCTTCTCCAACATACGTTCGGGCGTGTCATGTAAATCGGCAAAGTGTACGGCCACAGTATGATACACGTGTATCATCGCCTCGATGCGTTCCTTTATTTTCTCATTAATTTGACTGGCCTTAACCTTATCACCAGCTGCCAAAGCTTCATCCATTTGTTTTTTCAACTGATAAAGAGAAGAGTTGAAACCCATTTCCATTTCGAAAAATTTTACTATTCGTAACTTACCCCAATGGTTGTGGGATCCAAACGATGTATCGTTTTGACTAGATCCTTTTCTTTGTACTTGATTTCTACAATGCCCTCCGGTTCAAGGACACCAGCCCTAGCCTCTGGATCGGCATATGATTCCATATAACGGGGATTAATCAATGAATCTAGCACGGCCCATGCACCACCACGCAACTCAGCATTGGGTGGCAAGTAGATGAGAACTGGTTTTTTGTATTCACGCAAACCATCGACAATATAAGCGCCAAATTTCACAATTTGTTCATACATATCCTTCATGCCACCGGAGAAACCACGCCAATTGGCAAAGATGATCAAGGGTAATTCTTCACGGTCAAAATCTTTAATTGCCTGGGCAGTTTTGTATGATGAGTCTGGATACCAAACCTGGCCAGCTTGTTGTAATGTCTGAAAAGGTAAAACGTTGTACTTTCACACACCTTTATAAAAATTACAATTCTAACCTTAGCTTCAGAATCCAAATTGGCAGGATCTGCTGGCATCTCAACTTCAACAGTGCGGGTCTCAACAGCAATAACACCCACAGGTATGCCACCCAAACGAGCGCGACCAGTGACCACAGTCTTGGCCCAGGGAGCCATAATTTCGCTCCAGGAATCTCGATCAAAGAAACCATTTTCCCATTCACTAGCATTAGCTGTTGAAAACCCGAGTATAATAATATTCCACACAT